ATCTTTAGCAAAGTTATTTAAAGCTTGGAATAATTGTGTATAAAGTGTTTCAGATTTATTGCTTATTAAGCAATATACAAGTGAAAGGATTTAAAAATTATCATTTGTATCTATGGATGTATAGATAGTATAAAGTTATCAAAAAAGACTAGGTACAGTCTTGAAGGTACTATCCATGACTCAATAAAGTACTTGTAATATATGTTGTATATTTGTTGCAGTGGTAAATAGAAGAATTTTACTTTGATTAAATTTTGAATCTTCTATTAAAAACAATTTACTACTTAAGGTATAACATAATGTAATTGGAATTTCAATTCTTTAAGTGTCTTGGGTTCTGGTAGTGTTGCATTCTTTCTAACATATTTAATTCTTATTCTGAGAGCCTCTTTTGTAGGCATATAGGGCAAAAAACTTGTTGGAGTAGCAGCAATATTATGTTGAATTATTTAGAAGGTTTATCTTGTATATTACGAACTTATTTAATTTGAGTAATATTTTGTACAATTTTATCACTAGTAGCTAAAGAACCGTGTTCATGTATTCCAGATTTTTTAAAGTAATGAGAATTATTTAAGAAAGTAGTGATTGCTTGAGCTTTGCAGTTTTCTGATTTTCGTTTATCATAACTCCAATAGTAAGAATTTTTATAGGCATATTCTTTCACGAATAGATAAGCAATTTTGGATTACCTTTTTGTAATATTATAATTTACAAACTTTACCAACTTTATTGCTTATATTATAGTAGTATTAAAGCTAGCAATAAAATAAATAATAATGTAAGTTTTAACGAGATGTGGTGACTTAGTGTAGTGGTCTAGTTGTCACCCTTTCCAAGTGGCAGGCCTAGAGTTCAAATCCCACAGATGATGAATTTTGAAAAATAGGCTTGTGTTTGGTTAACGGCTATGTATATCAGTTGGATCTAATCTGTAACTTTGATCTAGTAATGGGAGCAATGGCGCAATAAATCTGAGAAACTGGCATAACCAAAAACCTATTTGGAAAGTCCCAAGTTAGAAGTAACAGTGATCTTTGATAGTATCACAAGAGGGCTGAATTCGAACTGGAGCCCGAGATCAAAAAACCAAACGACCAGGTTCTAATGGTGGAGGACACACCAGCCGAACTGCCAGGTTCTGTCACACCAGAGGAAAAGAACATACGCTCCGAAAGTATGTACCAGGGGAGGGCATCCTTCAGGTACCTAAAGCTTGGAAAGACCAACCCTTCCAGGTTGCCGGCTAGAAGTAAGGGAGAGACCAATAAAGAATCAGGGTAAGAAGACGGTCTGAATGCGGGTACCAGGGTTGTTGAGAACCTAACAAAAGCAGAAATAGGTAATCACAGGGAGTTCAATGGTTAGCCCTGACCCCAAGTATATGGGTAGAGCCGTGGCGTAGGTTACTGAAGTCTAGATAAATATATGAGTGGGACATGTGATATCTAGCAAAATGGGAATATCCCCCATCCAATAATCCAAAAGCACCTGGCGTCAGGTAAGCAAGCTTCACAGGATGTGTTGACCAATGTTAAGGTAAATAGGGGTTGATACAACTATATTGGGCTGAAAGGCTTGGTACGTCTTACTCAGGGGTTTATGGTTAGTATTCAGGAACTATAATACCGCAGGGGAGGGACCTGGGACATTTGCGGTGGTTGACGACTAATTAGGGTAACTTAGTTAGGAAGAGATTATCAATGATGTACTGAATATTCATTGTAAAATAATGCATAGCAATATGCATCCACATAATGAGTAATAAAGAGGCAGTATCGTTAAAAAAAAAAAAAAAAAAAAAAAAAAAAAAAAAGATAATGTAAGTTTTAAAAAGACTATTATTTGGTTTTTATTTTTTCTATTTATATAGCAATAATGTTTATTGCATAATAATAGTATATATCAATAATTTTTATTGTATAATAATAGTAACATATTAATAATTTTATTGCATAACAATAGTAACATATTGATAATTTTCATTATATAATGATAGTAATATATTGATAATTTTTATTAAAATATTATATATATTATAAAAAGATAATGATAAATAGATAAAATTAATAAAATTTTTTTTAAATAAAAAAATATAATAAGACTAAAAAGTTTCTTTAATTAATAAAAAAAAAAGATTGAGTAGATTAATTTTAATATAAGTGGAGTGGATGAACAAAGTTTGATAAAAACTAAAGATTAAACATGTGATAAATAAAGGTTAGCAAATTATACTATTGCTATATAAATTACAAGAAATTAACCTTTAACTTACTAATTGTTAATTTTTTGATGAATTTCGCTTGGTGTCAGGCATAATACTTCAAAAAATATTCAAGAAATAGTATATAAAAAGTAAAATATTGATGATTGTATTAATAATCTAATTAGATAATGAAATATGCTATTCTATAATATGAAATAAAGCTTGGATATTAAATAGATCAAAATTATACACTAAGTTAAAAGAAGTAAGTTATTTAAATTTTAGTATACACTTTATTTTATTATTCTTAATTGTATAATAAATGATCTTAAAGTATATAGTATAGATTGATTAATTTAAAGTGCATTAGCTAAATATAAATAATTAATAAATTTGTTTTAAAAGAAATTTATGAATAAAAATATGCAAATAGCAAGTAATATAACAAGTATATTTGTTTGATATCAAGCATATGATCTTCAGAAAACAATATAATAATGAACAAAAATGAGAGTGCTAATACAGTAATTGCAATAAAAGTATTTCAGCTTAAGGCTATAAAATAGAATACAATGATATAATTAAATAGATATAATTAAAATTTAATAGATTTACCAAGAGTAAATTATAAGTAAAAGATTTCTTATGTCTAAAGGATAATAAACATAAAATATATAGTTTAATCAAAGAAACCATAATTTGATAAAAATTGTGCAAGTTGTAACCAATATAACTAGTAATAGAAAAATTTTATAATAAAATATACATGTTATATGTATAAATATGCATGATATTACATGATATAATTTTGAAAATTTATATTTTCTCTTTGAAAAATATGTACATTTATTTTCTTTCAGGAATTAAAATTTTTAATATGACCCAAATTAAAAATCAATAATAGTTTTTTTTTTGAAAGGATCTGGCATATTAAAAAAAATAAGGTGTCTAAAAAATAAAATATTGAAAAAAATGAGACATCAAAAAAAATTAGAATGTCGAAAAATGGAATGTTAGAAAAAATAAGACAGAAAAAATAGAAAAGAGGTTTTTTTTTTTAAGTTATTTTTTTTTAAGTTATTTTTTTTTGTTATTTTTTTTAAGTTATTTTTTTTAAATTATTTTTTTTTTAAGTTATTTTTTTTCCATAGCCAATTTTTTTAAACTTGTCTTTCTTTCTCTTATTTTTTAATCCACTCGGTTTGATTTTTTTTTTTTGTTGTCTTGGATTTAAAGTATTAATAGAGATTACTATATGATAGCAATTTTCATATTTTATCTACTTACTATTGTAGTGATACTAGTATTGGCAGTAAAATTACTGAATTATGGTATTTTACTATATAGTAGAATTAATTATAGTACAGAGCCCAATTGCTATAAATAATATATACTGTAATACTACAATAGCATAATACTATAAACCTTTGTATTGTAATAATGTGATACTATAATACCTAGGGGTTAGTAAAATTACAGGGGAGACAACTCAAATGTTATACAAGTTTAAAAGTAATGCAAAAATTGTCATTTAATATGAAAATCATATAAATTCGTATATATCATATTTGATTGGTCAAAGTCTTGACTGTTAACTTTTTAAAAATAATCTGTCTACTGGGAGTTCTTTTTTTTTAAACTCGAAATAGACAAAGGTAAGTAATTAATTATAAAAAAATTTTATAGCTGTTCTTTTATTGTTAAAAAAACCAAATCATATATTCACGCTCAATTATTGTAAGATAAAAGAAATGAAGATAAAAGATTATACACATGACTCAAAGCCTATAAGTATCTTGAAATAGCACGTACCTAATATAAACTTTTCCAAACCAAAATTATATTCAAAAGCCAAACCAGTTAGAGTTAAAGTAAACGAATATAAGGTTTTATTTATCACTAAAAATCTGCAGAAATTGGGATGTTTAGAAATAAATAATTAGGAAATTAGTATTGAAATGGATCAATATAAAGTGTTCCTTTATTATCAAAGATAAACATTTGAATCAAGAATTAGAATTGAAATGATAAACATAAAGTGTTTATTTATTGTTATATGTAATCTTGGAAAAAAATTTCATCATAGAATTAGAATTCAAATGAATGAATATAAAACATCCATTTATTATAAAAATGTAATAGGGGCATGCTCTAGGAATAAATAATGTTTGTTATCATTATTGAAATAGATTAGGGTTTAAAAAGTATGAATATTAGGTTATTGTAATTGAGATTTCAATTTTGATAAGAATTCACATATATTAGATACGCGTTATTTCAGAAGCTTATTAGAATTATTTTAAATAAAATATCATCTTAATATATCATTATGTATGAACACGGCAAACTATTTATACTGCCATTTTAGAGAAATAGAATTTTATCTGAAAAGGTAACAAATAAACCAACATCAAAATGTTCAAAGGAGGATTCTAAAGATGAAGCCTTGCAACAACTTTACCAGCTCCATCCTGATCTTAATGGTCAAAGTGTATGGTTTTTTCTACATTTAAAAAGTCTGCAGAGGGTCATATTCTATACAAAAAATCAGAAAAGCATGCATATGTATATGATACAATTACCCAAAAGCAATTTCTTTCTTTTCAGCATGGATAAAGGCACTCAGTGGTCAATGTTTCTTTAAGGGGAAAAAATCAGCATTAGCTACTTATTTTTGAAACCCAATTGCAATAAACTGAATATTGGGCAAATAATAAAAGGCAAAAATTATACACCTTATTTTAAAAATATTCAAATTATCATATTACTTTCTATTAAAGACACTTTAACAACAATGATATATAATGATGTAGAATTTACAGATATAAATTTAACAGAGAGAGAAGGATTTTTGTATCTTGCTATTTTTGAATCAGATATGAAAAAGGAACTTTATATAAAAAAAGCAATTCATGGATGTCAGAAACCTATTAAATGTACTGTTTTTGTTAATAGATTAGAAGTAAGAGAAAATTTTTTGGAAGAGAATGGTATTAGATATAAAATCTCAACAATTGATAAAATTTATTTGATTGTGCGATTTTTTAAAACATCACATGTTTGTATAGGACAATGTACCAAAGGAAAGTATATTAGTGTATTAATATATTTGAATAAAATTTTTTTCTAATATTATTTTTACAAATATTTAGGATTTGAACAAGTTACTTATTTATGAGATGACCACCTATATTCGAATTTTATAGGCTCAGAAAATAATCATGAAATAATTGCGAATTTAGAAAATAAAGGACTTGGCAATGAAGTTTATCGCAGGATCAACTGCACTCTTCTTTCTTAAATGGCAAAATATGTACCAATTGTAAAACATTGTATAATACATTATATTAAATTAAAACCCGATATAACAATGGTATTCAATCTATTAAGACAACATATACCTCCAAAGAATTTCTAACTGAAATTGTTCAAAATGCTCGAAAAGTATTTATTTTTAGTTAATTTATAATTAAATAAATTATATTTATTATTATTAAATAAATATTATTACCTTAGACAATCCGAACACAGAAAGAGTTAGTTGGAAGTCTTCATGACCGCTTAAAGCTAAAATTTGAAGCAGAAGAAGAACAAGTATCAGAACCATTAACTAGCATTGTTCACAATGTTGTTGATGAAGTTTTAAACAAAAAATATGAAATATATCAAATATTATTTTAAAAGAGCTGGTCTATGTGCAAAGTAAAAAGCCAAAAGGAGTACGCTACCATTCTATGTAAGTAAAAATAGAAATTATATTCTTCTAGAAAAAATCTTACTCATTACAGGTTTATTCAATGGGCAGTTTCAATTTATAGTAGAAGTCCTGCTACATACAAAATAATGAAATCAGTTATTAGAATGCCATCAGTATCAATACTTAAAAGCTATATTAATGAAACTGAACAATATACAGGTTGGCAAAATAAAATAGTAAAGCGAATGGTAGCTAGTATGAAGACGAATAATGTTTGGGATATGCACGTCTTGGTTTTTTTTCACATAACTCATTTAAAATTCAAAAAGGTTAGAATAGCAAAAAAAAAAAAAATTTAAACCTATCATAAACTGAATTTTGTTATTATTATTATTATTATATAGGGCTTCTTTGAAGTCAATGTGACAATAGATATGTCAGATCATTGACTTTGATAATGAAAATGCTGAACTTGAAGCATTTGGTGAACAATGTCTCAATAATATTCAAGGCTTGAGTAATCATATTAAGCATGATAATGATGATGAAAAGAACCATGAGCGAACTTTAGTGACTCAAATTCATCAAATTGTATGGCATTCTGTATCTTATTCTTTTAATTTTTCAATAGTCTATTTTGGTGTTGAAGCTATGAATATTCACACTCTTAGTACAATTCTTTTTCACTTGGCTGCTAAGCTTAAATGTGTTGCAATTCATACATGCGGTTTTGTATGTGATAGTGCAGATGAAAATCGAAGGCATATTAAGAGTTTTGATTGGTTTGCAGCAATTTGGAAAGTGAATGATAAAGTAGAAGTTCAGTGAACGAATAAATCAGGAAAAAAGAATTATAGACCAGCTAGAATAATTTCCTTTAACTTAGCACGTATTAAATTTTTAGTTTAGTTATCAGGTACCTCACAAACTTATAGTTTTTCACGTTCGGCTTTACGACCTCCAATGCCAGAAAAAATGATTTGGAATGTTAATAATTGATGTGAAGTTCGAAATATAAATAGTAATAATTGGTACCCTGGTAAAGTACTTACTGAAATCTTAGTAGATAATTATTTAGATATTGAAGTTATAATTGAAACTACTGAAAAAGTCGAATTGTATATATGGAGATCGCTACTTCATGATATTCGTCCTGAATATGATGAAGATGAACATTTTGTTTCACATCTTACTATTAATCTCATAACTGGTAATAAATGGTTCTTTTTAAATGATCCAACACATGTTTTTAAATAATGTCTCTAAAAGTCATACTAGTAATAATGAAAATGAAAGTCTAAGAGAAATAATGTTTGACGGATAAGAAATTAGTTGGCGCTATTTTCAAGGAGTGTATGATTATACAACCAAACATGAGGTAACAAAAGCTACTAAATTAACTAAGCGACATATATGGCTTACCCCCTGGAGCAAAATGAGAGTGGATCTTGCAGAATATACACTATCATTTGATGTCAAAAAAGCAATAGAAAATATTTCAGAGTTAAATTATATCTTCCAAGGCACTCAAGATCGTAACTAAACTCTCTTTTGATTTTAATACTGAAATACAATAAGTATTTATTTGATTTAAAATTTAATCATTGAATATAATATATTATTATATATTACTAGTTATTTATTTACTATGCACATATGTATGGAGATATTACATATAGTCGAATATATATTTCTTCTCTTAAAGACCCACGCTTGAATACTTTGAAAGAAATAAAACAATAGTTTACTCAAGGTAATAAACAAAAAAAAAATTCAAGTCAATGGTTCTCTACACAATGCCAGTTCGATTTAATTTTATCAATAAATGGATTCCTTGGAATCATAGAGTATATACTTACTAATTGGCCAGGTGCTATAATTCAACCAAGAAGAATATCTCAGGATATGCTTGAAGGTTTATTCAGAACAATTAGAGAAATAGGTGGTGACTCTTCTATACAAACGGTTCAATCTTATGGATATGCAATGAACAAATTAACAATTACAATGCAAATGACATTAGAAATACAAAGCCTGAATTATGGTTTAGCTAATAGTTCAGGTTGCATATTTGCTGACTTAAAGCAAAGGTAATTTTTGCTTATACAAATTTGGCATTAAATTTGTTTTTTAAATAAATATTAAAATGACTTTTTTTTAGAGATTATCAAAATAAACAATATAAGGAGTAAAATTTGAAAGAATATACATCAGCAAATTTAATAGGGCGTAATATTGCGCAATAATTTACAAAGCGTAAGAAAACCGTAATATTACGTAATAACTTTCGCAATATTGCGAAATATA